GCGTCGTCACTTTGTAAAAAACACTACACACATGTGCACATACGCATTCCTGTTGACTGAACACATAATATGCATGTGCACGACGTCACCATTTTTACAAATTCGCAGTTTCGTAATTTATGTGGAGATGACAATGGAATCGTTTTTAAAAACCTGCACTTTGAAACTTTCAAAAGTTTGTGTTTTCAGGCCCCCAAAACGCTGTTGTCGTGTAAATGAACGCATAAAAAGTTATTAGTTTTTAGTTGAAAATGGTGTTGCGTAAACACCCCTTAAATAAAATAAATAAATAAAAATAACAGTTTTGAATGACAAAAACTAATGAAAACCCACTGACCTTTTCATCATCAAAATCATAAAATGGTAGATTTAGTCAACTAAAGTCTTATATTTATTAGACTAAAACTAGACTAAAACAATTCAGATGACTAAAACTAAATGACACCTAAACTAAATCAAAATGTGTTGTCAGAATGACGCTGCGGCAGATAAACGTGACAAAACTAACTAGAGTTAAACATACTGTTAGAGACTGCTAACATTTGTTAGTGCTGACTGGAGAAGCACATTTACAAGTCAAAACACATTTTTACTGAGCAGGCATTTAATATGATGATTCAGTTATTGCTCAGAATTGCTAAAAATCAGTATTAAAGTGACCGGAACATCTCCAGTATAGTTTTTTTCTTTTTACTTTGAAACAATATTCACTCAGAGATTGCTAGTAAATTTCACAAATAATTATAAAGCAATGACCAGGGCTATTATAGATAAGTTAAACTGAAACTAAAATTAAAACTAATAATTTTAAAAAATATAAATGTTAAATAAATAAAAATTAATGCAAGCTATATATAGCTACTCAAATGTATACGTATGTTTAAATAAAGAAAAATATATAGAATGTATCTAAAATATTAAAATATAAATGATATAAAAATATTAAAATCATATAGAAAAAAATAAATGATATAGAAATTATACATATACAAAACTAATAAATATTAGTAATTAGTAATTTTATTTGATTTAGTAATTAGTAATTAAATTTTATTAGTAATTCTATTTTAAAATATTAGTAATTTTGTGTATTGTTATATTTTATTTAATATAAATTACACACACACACACACATAAAAAAAAAATATATATATATATATAGACAAAATTAGGTACCGAATACTGAAATTTTGGTACCGTGACAACACTAATATACACATATACATATACATACAATGTTTCGGTATATATACACACACATTAGAGCTAATATACAATATTATAAATGTAATATAAATTATATAATTTCTCCTAGTTTGCTTGTGCTAATCTCCATTTCACATTTTCTTGTGGAGATGTTCTGGTCAATATTAGAATAAAGGCTTAATCTTAATCTGTAAATGTGGCCATTTTTTGCATTTTCACGGCCCAGTGTCTCTCATTTTCTCTGTTTTTCTCCAGCTCTGTCCTCAGTTGCTCATTTTCTGGGCTGTGATGGCAGCGCTGTAGAATTATGGGATAGAAATCAATAGTGTCAGGATTGAGTGATCAGGGAAAGTTTTAGTGCTGTGGGCTCAAGGCTTCATCAACACGGTTTAAAGCACGTCTCCTGAACCCCGAGCACAGGACTCACTTTACTGCGCTCCGGATTAATCGCCTGCAGCAGAGCATCATGGGATTGGCCTGAACACACGGGGCTTGTTTCAGGATGTAGTAACTTTTCTGCCACATTTTTCTGATTGTGACAGTCACTGCCTGGATGTTAAGCTGAAAGCTGATGCATTTGAGATGTGTGTCCCTATAAATGACACACCTGGATGTTTGTTTGTTTTATAAAACTTATTATTATTATTGTTTTTAGATTTTATATTATTTAATATAAATAACTGTACTTTAGTTTATGTAATATAACATTTTATATATAATATTATATTTAATTTGTTAATATATTTAATATTATATATAGCATCTATATGTTCTATTTAATATGTATGTTATTATTATTATTGTTGTTATTATTGATATTATAAAGGGTGCTTCTACTAAATACTGAGCAAAGGGTCTGAATACTTAGGACCATGTGATATTTCAGTTTTTCTTTTTTAATAAATCTGCAAAAATGTCAACGATTCTGTGTTTTTCTGTCAATATGGGGTGCTGTGTGTACATTAATGAGGAAAAAAAATTAACTTAAATGATTTTAGCAAATGGCTGCAATATAACAAAGAGTGAAAAATTGAAGGGGGTCTGATACTTTCCGTACCCACTGTATATATTTGAAGAGTTTGGTTCCAAAACGCTATAAATCCATTTTGATTAATTTGAGTAAAAATGTGTTTTCTTTACCAAGAAAGTGGCCACTATTTTCTGTTTCAAACTTTCACATAGCATCTTTACGTTAAAATAACATAAAAAATTCAAATCCAGATTTTGATTCTCAAAGATTTATTATAAAAACTGATAATTTTTTTCCCCCAAAATGCAATAAATCCATTTAATCAATATAAAATAGATTTTTCATATTGAAACTGTTGTAAATACACAACAAAGTAAGTTGATCCACATCTGACAGCCTCTGGACTTACGTTTCTTTCCCACCGCAGAAACCACAGTTTCATCAATGCCGTCAAAATCATTAAAATTATTTTTCTAGCTGATGAACGATAAAAACATTGACAGCCAATCAGAATCCATCCTGCTGTAACGAACTCAAGAATTTAAAGCGGCAGACGCGCGTGCGCTTAGAATAAACAGACAATATCGTTCGCTGGTGTCGCCGCTAACATCGTTATCTTTATAGTTATCGTTCTTGGTGTGAACGGAGCTTAACACGGCGGATATTTTTAAAATTGGCTTTTTAATACCGACCAGATACAATACCGATTTTGGCGGGAATTCACTTTTTTTTTTTTAAATGCCGTTTATCGCGTTTTGGAACCAAACTCTTCACCATACATATAATTTCAATCATAGTTTTTTTTTTTTTTTTTTCATCTTTATACACTATATTTCCTCTGAATCTCTTAATTCCTGCACTGATTCGCACTCAGTCTCTCAGTGTTTATTGTCTCGTCCTGGAGTACGAAATGAATGTTAATGTGATTTGAGACGAGGTCGGTGAGAGCGCGCTCAGATTGAGTTTATGCACACGGCTGAAGTCACATGACCCGCAGCGTCCAATCACAGGTCAGCGTGAGTTTGTGTTGATGCACCTGGTGCGTAATCAGGATCACGGGCTTTAATTAATGATGTGTTTTAATAAGCTGCAGCAGAACACATGATGAGATCAGGAGGAATGACTGATTGATAAGCGCTGAGGTGAATCTGATCACTCATGATCAATCAATCCGTCTCTGACCCATACACACACTCTGTGTTTGATTGATTACAGTATTGATGCGATTGGAAACACAAGTGTTGATTTGTAGAGTTTTTGGCTTCTGATGTGAAGCTTTAACATGTTTAGAGTTCATCTTCACCTGCTTTAATACATGTACAAAACAATAGCTGAATTACCGCGGTACTTCTGTGTTTTGTGGACAGTTTGAGGTTGTAAATACCTGATTAAGGTAATCAATCAGTACCATGGTATAGAAGTACTTTACCAGCACTGTACCGTAGTATCACCACAGTACATTATGTAAGAGTAGACAGATCTGAATACAAATGTTTGTATATATTTTGTGTGTGTGTGTGTGTGTAGTATACATATACATATATATATATATATATATACAAAATGAGCTGGCCCAGATCCGGCATGGTGCTGGACCAGATCCGGCCCACATTTGGCCCAAATCACCATAAAGGAATTTTTTTATTTTACATAATCTCATCTATATATCTATAGCTATTTGAAATATAAATATATAAAATAATGAAAAATATATAATTATATAAATATAAAATAACAGTTTTTCTTTAAAATTGGCATTTGAAATTCAAAGAATAATTTTTAAATAATTATTTATGTATTTATTTTATTTAAGCAATAATCATAAATTAATAAATTCATATAAAATTAAATATTTAAAAATAAATACTTTTTTTATTATTGACAGTTGAAATTAAAATGCAAACATAACTCTCTTCATAAATTAATTTATTTCCTGTGTAGTTCCTGATTGGTCAGTGCTTTAGTATTTGAGTCTAATGACTTTAAACTGTATAATTGATCATTGACTCATTAATTTCTCTTGTTGCTCGTAGAATATTCAGTATTTCATGTGTATGTGTTTATTTATTTGTTAAGTAGTCATAAATAAAAATGATGTGCATCCAGAGGGTCAGTATCACAAAATGAGCAGCTGATTTTATATCATCTGAAGCCTCATGGTTTCTCAAATCCATCCGAATATGAATGTTTTCTGAACTCTACGGTAAGATGCTTTTCCCGCATCAGTCTGTTGAGTTTCTGCTTGGCCGACGTTCGATCTGAGCAGCAGCAGCGTTTGAGTTTTTCTTTCTTCTTGAGAAAAATCTGAAGCGAGTAAATTGTGTGACTCCTGACGGCCGCTCTCACTGTCTCCGGCTCTTTTGAGGTGTTTTTCCAGAGCTATTCATTACAAAATCCGCTTAATGAGAGCAAAGCGCATTAGTGGCTCCCGCCGCTGCAAACGACTGAAAGATGGAGCGATTTGTTGGCTCTTTAGAGAGCGGCTTAAGCCGAAGCTGTTTGTTCTGATCCTCTGCTTTCTGACATTTCCCTCCAAAGGGTTTTCCTGCCGGTTTTATTGGCTTGACCTGATTAGCTAATCTGTGCTTTGAATTTCAATGGCTTCTCGGGCCGCTGGGAACCGGATTACCTCATTCAGCGGTCCTCAAACACAGATGGCCGAATGTTTAACCGATTGTTAAAAGAGTCGACAAAAGGGAGTTTAACGGAGCACACGGTCTTTAAGCTCAATGCATGCAGAGGAGTAAAGAGAGATGCTCCTGTGTCGATGTTGTGATGCTGATATTAAATCGATGTCGTCTCTTCTTCTTCTTCTTCTCCTCAGAGTCTGTGCTCGATGGCTAGCGTGCAGACGGTGAGATCCGCCGACACCAATGAAGTCGACAAACTCATCTTCAGAGAGTCAGACAATGACCGCAAGGTGAAGCCTTTCACTGCTTCATTTAGTCATCAAACATATATGTTCAAGCAATGGGCCTCCAAATATTAGAATGATTTCTGAAGATCATGTGACACTGAAGAATGGAGTAATGATGCTGAAAATACAGCTGTGATCACAGCAATACATTTATATTTTAAAATAAATAAAAATAGAAAACAGTTACTTTAAATAACAAGAAATAAATGCAGGCTTTGTGAGCAGAAGAGACTTCTTTAAGAAATCTTACTGTTGAAAAACTTTATATACTTTTTGCTGATGACTTGGTCATTCTTGATCATTTTGTGATCTGTCTGTGTGTTTTACAAGGGTTCACTTACTTTTTCCTCACTCATCAGTTGAAGATCTTTAATCTACTACAGGCGCCTCCATAATTTGGTGTAGATCTGTTAAACATAATGGTTTTTATTATACACTACCATTCAAAAGTTTAGGGTCAGTAGGATTTTTCATTTTTTTAAAGATTTTTTAATGAAAAAAAATTCTCTCTATTTGATAAAAAATACAGTAAAAATTGTTAAATATTTTTTACAATATAAAACATTTTCTGTGTGAATATCTGTTAAACTGTAAT